GGAACAGATCCCTAGGAGAAACCCAAAGATGTACCCTCAAGGTTCAGAAACAAGAGAGACCTGGAACATGCAGCCGAACGTCTCGGAGAAGTGATCAGGGACTCCTATGAAAACAACTGCAACATTAAAAGACCGCGGAATACAAAAATGGTGGGCTGGTGGAATAACCAACTGTCCATTTTAAGATGCCAGCTAAGGAAAGCGTGGAACAAGGTGAAGACCGCGTACACGGAAAGCAGCAGGCAGAAGGCCCTCGAAGATTGCAGAGATCTTCGGAGGAAATATAATAAAGCACTCGTAATAGCCAAAAACGAGGGCTGGAAGAAATTTAGCAGTGGGGTGGAGAGCCAATCTGAAGCTTCAAGGCTGGTAAAGATCCTGGGAGGACAGGGCGCCTCTAATCTGGGCTGTCTCATCAAACCGGATGGAAGCTATACCTGGACCACAGAAGAAACTCTCCAACTGCTGCTAGAAGAGCACTTCCCGGGGTTCACGAACTGGGGGGATATGGAACAAGGAACAGAAACCTGTAGAGACACCTACAAGCCGCAAGAATGGGCCTTGGCAGCTAAGATAGTCCACCCGCAAGGGGTAGAGTGGGCCGTCAATACCTTTGAACCCCTAAAAGCTCCGGGACCAGATGGAGTCTACCCAATCCTCTTGCAGAGAGGGATCGACATCATTCTGGGACCCTTAAAAAAAATACTTAGGGCAAGCATAGCACTAAGGACTGTACCAAAAATTTGGGGGAGATCAAGGATTGCCTTCATCCCCAAACCTGGAAAGAATGGGCATATCAAGCCCAGGGACTTCAGACCCATCAGCCTCACCTCCTTCATATTGAAGACACTGGAAAGACTGGTGGATCAATACATAAAGAGCACACTGCTTCTTGAGACACCCCTATCACCCTCACAATATGCCTACAGGGCAGGCAGGTCGACGGAAACAGCCCTGCATCACCTAGTGGCTAAGATTGAGGAACAGATAGAGGGAAAGGGCTACGCACTCAGCCTATTCCTGGACATCGAGGGCGCCTTTGATCGTACTAAATACGAGATCATAACAAGGGCCATGTCGAGGAAAAATTTTCCAGACTGTATCATTGATTGGACAAAAAGCATGTTGGAGAGCAGGAAAATAACTGCCACACACAACGGCCCACACGTAGAAGGGCATCCGACCAAGGGTTGTCCACAGGGAGGAGTCCTGTCTCCACTCCTGTGGAGCCTAGTTGTCGATGACCTTCTAGAGAAATTGAGAGAAGAGAACTTTCTGGTGAACGGCTATGCTGACGACATAGCCATTGTAGCCAGGGGAAACTTCCTCGAAACTCTAAGAGACAGACAGATCCGTGCTGTGAGAATACTGGAAGAATGGTGTAAAGAAACGAAACTTACAGTTAATCCTGAAAAGACGTGTGCCATGATCTTCACCAGAAAATATAAAGTGGTCACTCCACGACCAATTAAAATTGGAGGAGTGGACATCGCTTACGCAAGTTCAGTGAAGTGCCTGGGAGTAACTCTGGACACCAAGCTTCACTGGAAACAACACATAGCCACACAGATGGGCAAAACATATGCCTCACTCTGGGCTTGCAAAAGAGCCATAGGAAGGACGTGGGGTTTCAACCC